CACACACACACACACACACAAAACCACTTCATGCATTCACACAATGTCACACCAACACATGAGCACAAAATCCTTTTCTACTGGACACTGTTGTGTTTTCTGTTTTGGTCATTTAGTTGTATTCTATATTGTCCTTGAAGATCAAACCTAATATAATACGTAATAATATTCTACCTACACGATATTGCTGGTGTAAAATATCTCTTCCAAACATTGGTACAAACTTGAAAAAACTAGCACTGCCCTAAATAACAGGAGTAATTAAACTTAATGCACATCACCTGCTGCTTTGCATGTCAAAGTTTAAAACTGTCAAAGTAAATAAGAAATACCAAGAAACATGAGGTGTAGTGTTGAATTTGGCCCTAGTCTAATTTGTTCTATGAAGACTATCATTAACAATTATGTTAAGAAAATTAGTGTTTATAAATGAAAAAAAGATCTGTGTAAGTCATGAATCCAAGTGCTCAAAAGTCTAATTACTGTGTTATAAAAATAATCAATGAATAACACATTTTTAATAACATGTATGTCATGTGTGACATTGTTCTTAATAAATATTTTATGTTTTTATATTCAAGCTGAGCAGGAATTTAGTTGAAGTTATTTGTGTCGTGAATTCACATCCATCATGCCAAGGTATAAATAATAAACAGTCAATTGAAAGAATAAATAAAATATATTTTGAATATTATTAGATCATGTTTCTTTTGGAACTACAGCATTCTTCTTTTTGTAGGTTGTATTTATTCCTTGAAAATTGGAAATATCTCAGATGTGAGAAGTGTTGTTTTGAGACAAGTTTTGCGTTCCTGCACAGGTCTCCAGGGACAGTTTTGGACACCAGAGCGGTTATTCTTACCTTAGCAGACTAAGATATGTTTATCCATGTTTTCACTTCAAGTGAGCAGGTCAGTCATTACCACAGACGTTTACATGTTTAACTATAAAACACAACTATTACCAGATATTTGCATGCGGGTCATCAAATAATACAGTGGTATTAAATAAGGAAATATTAAATTTATTGTTAGGATCATATAAGGAGGAGTGATTCAGGTGTTGTGTTCACAGTTGCATTTTCTTCCCCTTTTTTTTTCCAGGAAACAGATCAAATCTTCCATATGACTCAAATGCTTGCAGCCAAAATGAGATGTGTAAATTACAAAGAGAATCCGGCACTCGTCTGTCTGAACAAAAAGAGACTTACAATCAGCACATTAACACACTCTGAGCTCAAAGGCTCAGACTGCATCAAAATATAAAAACAAAAGTAAGACGAATCTAAAAGAATTAAGCAGATACTACAAAAAGGGACACAAATTAGGACAAAAAAGTTACAGTGTTGAGTGTGTGTGTGTGAGAGAGAGTGTGTCCTTGTTTTTCCTACATTGTGGGGCCCAGTTTTAAGGAAAACGCAGCCTCGTGGGGTCCGAGTGCTCCTTGGGCCCCACAACTTCAGAGGCTAATTTTGGGTGTGAGG